CAAGACAGAAGAAAGAGAAATTAAGGAGTTGGTCCCATTTACAACTGTACCCAAATCATAAGTTACCTAGGAATAAATCTAACCAAAGAGGTAAAGAATCTGTACTCAGAAAACTATAAAATACTCATGAAAGAAATTGAGGAACATACAAAGAAATGGAAAAATGTCTCATGCTCATGGATTGGAAGAATAAATATTGTGAAGATGTCAATGCTACCTAGAGCAATCTACACATTTAATGCAATCCCTATCAAAATACCATCAACTTTTTTCAAAGAACTGGAACAAATAATACTATAGATAGACCCTTTAAGTATGATATAGTGTCCTTACCTCACTAGAGATAATAAGAGATTAAAATCTAATTTGTCTGATAATAAGGATTGCCACCCCAGCTTTCTTTTGATGTCCATTAGTATGGTAAATGGTTTTCCAACCCCTCACTTTCAATCTGGAGGTGTCTTTGTGTCTAAAATGAGTCTCTTGCAGACAGCATATCGGTCTTGTTTTTTTATCCAATCTGATACCCTTTGTCTTTTGATTGGGGCATTTAGCCCCTTTACATTCAGGGTAACTATTGAAACATATGAATTTAGTGCAATCGTATTGCCTGTAAGGTGACTGTTACTGTACATTGTCTCTGTTCCTTTCTGGTCTATGTTACTTTTAGGCTCTTTCTTTGATTAGAGGACCCCTTTCAATATTTTTTGTAGGGCTGGTTTCGTGTTTGCAAATTCTTTTAGTTTTTGTTTGTCCTGGAAGCTTTTTATCTCTCCTATTTTCAGTGATAGCCTAGCTGGATATAGTGTTCTTGGCTGCATATTTTTCTCGTTTAGTGCTCTGAATGTATCATGCCAGTCCTTCCTGGCCTGCCAGGTCTCTGTGGATAGGTCTATTACCAATCTAATGTTTCTACCTTTGTAGGTTACAGACCTCTTGTCCCGAGCTGCTTTCAGGATTTTCCTTTGTCTCTGAGACTTGTGAGTTTTACTATTAGGGTGTTGACCTATTTTTATTGATTTTGAGGGGGGTTCTGTGTGCCTCCTGGATTTTGATGCCTGTTTCCTTCCCCGAATTAGGGAAGTTCTCTGCTGTAATTGCTCCAGTATACCTTCTGCCCCCTCTCCCTTTCTTCGTCTTCTGGGATCCCGGTTATTCTAATATTGTTCCGTCTTATGGTATCACTTATCTCTCGAATTCTGCCCTCGTGATCCAGTAGTTGTTTATCTCTCTTTTTCTCAGCTTCTTTATTCTCCATCACTTGGTCTTCTCTATCACTAATTCTCTCTTCTGCCTCATTTATCCTAGCATTTAGAGCTTCCAGTTTTGATTGCACCTCATTAATAGCCTTTTTGATTTTGACTTGGTTAGATATTAGTTCTTTTATTTCTCCAGAAAGGGTTTCTCTAGTATCTTCCATACTTTTTTCAAGCCCAGCTAGTATCTTTATAATCGTCATTCTGAACTCTAGTTCCAGCATCTTACTAATGTCCATATTGATTAGGTCCCTGGCAGTCGGTACTGCCTCTTGTTCTTTTTTTTTTTTGAGGTGATATTTTCCTTCTTGTCGTTTTGTCCAGAGGAGAATAGATGAATGAGAGAACAAAATACTAACAGGGTAACAACAATCCCAGAAAAATATACACTAAACAAATCAGAAGAGACCAAAACCAGGGGAAAAGAAAGGGAAATAAAGAGAAAAGAAAAAAGGATGTGATCAGGTATGATCAGGCTGGTGAATAGATCAGTGTCACACACTAGATTTTGGGTGTATTTTGGTCTCTTAGAAGAAACTGCCTCCCAAAATTTTAAAGAAAGGAAAACTTACATATGTACAAAAATAAGGGTAAATACAATGAAGGGATGGAATATGACTGTAAAGAAGAATATTATAAAAGATTTTATAAAATGAATTGATAAGTTGTTTGAAAAAAGAAGAGAAATTTAAAAAAGGGGGAGGGAGAATGTGATCAGGCAGGAGACTAGAACAAAGCCATACACTAGAGATTTAGGGTATATTTTGGTCTGTTAGAAGAAACTGAATCCCAAAATTTTAAAGAGAAAACAACTTACATATATACCAAAAATAAGGTTAACTACAATGAACGGTTAGAATATGACTCTAAAAATGAAAAAGAAAAAAGATTTTTTAAAAAAGGGATTGAAAAGATGTTGGTTGAAAAAGGGAAAAAGAAAAAGTAAAAAAAAAAATAAAAGGAAAAGAAAATTAAAAAATTAACTTTCAAAGACTAAAGAATCCTGGGGAAAAAAGCCATGAAATCTATGTGCAGTATTCTCCCAGCGCTGGAGTTCTGCCATTCTCATTGATTGGTAAACTTGGTCTTGGCTGGCTGTCCTTGCTGATCTTCTGGGGTCGGGCCTGTCGCAGTGATTCTCAAAATGTCTTTGCCCAGGGCGGAATTGCCCCTCCTTTGCTGGGGCCTGGGCTAGGTAATCTGCTCAGGTTTGCTCTTGGGAGCTTTTGTTCCTGCAAGCTTTCCATACAGCTTTGGAGGACGAGAGTTAAAATGGCGGCCTCCCAGTCTCTGCCCTGGAGGAGCTGAGAACCCGGGGCCCCACTCCTCAGTGAGCCCCCAGAGAAAAGCAGTCAGTCACTCCCATCTCCCTGGTCTCTGGCCGCACTCCGTGCTCACCCGGCCTGTGACCAAGCATTTCTGTCTCTGGCACCTGACCCTGTGTGGAGTCTCCAAACCCAGCAGATCCCTGCGGTGCGCTCCCGCGCCGCTCCTCGCCGGGGAGGAAGGGGAGTCTCCCTGGATCTGCCACTAGTTGGGTCCCTGCTGGAGGAGCAGTGGCCCTACCGAGCCACGGATCATGGTTTATGGCAACCCCAAGCTGAGAGCCCGTGCCTCGGCTCCGTCTCTGCAGCCGGCTTCCCCGCTCCAATACCCGGGAGCTCTGCCGCACTCAGGCACCCCCAGTTTTTCTGTGACCCCGAGGGTCCGGAGACCACACTGTCCCAGTGAGGGTTCCACCCCCTGCTTAGCCACTGGAGTGATGTCCCTCAGTGGAGCAGACTTCTGAAAGTTCTGATTTTGTACCCAGCTGCTCTATCACTTGCTGGTCTGACAGAGGCTCCCTACCCCCGTGGTCTATCTTCCCGAATATCACCTCGGATTCACTTTTCCCCACGTCCTACCTTCCAGAAAGTGGTCCTTTTTTTTAAAGATTTTTTTTTTTTTTTTAATTTACTTGACACACAGGGAGAGATAGCGAGAGAGAGAGAGGGAGAGAGCACAAGCAGGGGGAGTGGCAGGCAGAAGGAGAAGCAGGCTTCCCGCATGAGCAGGAAGCCCGATGTGGGGCTCAATCCCAGGACCCCGGGATCATGACCTGAGCTGAAGGCAGCGGTTTAACCAACTGAGCCACCCAGGCGCCCCAAGAAAGTGGTCCTTTTCTGTTCAGAGAGTTGCTGCTGTTCTTTTCTTCCATCTCCTGTTGAATTTGTAGGTGTTCAGAATGGTTTAATAGCTATCTAGCTGAATTCCTGGGGCCAGACAAAATTTAGGTCTCCTACTCCTCTGCCATCTTGCTCCTCCTCCCCTCCATACTGTTTTCCACAGTGGCTGCACCAGTTTGCATTCCCACCAACAGTGCAAGATGGTTCTTTTTTCCCACATCCTCACCAACACTTATTGTTTCTTGAGTTTTTTATTTTAGCCATTCTGACAGGTGTAAAGTGATATCTTTGTAGTTTTGATTTGCATTTGCCTGGTGATGAGTGATGTTGAGCATCTTTTCATGTGTCTGTTCTCTGTATGCCTTTTGAGAAATATCTGTTCATGTCTTCTGCCTGTTTTTTAGTTGGATTATTTGGTTTTTTAGTGTTGAGTTGGATAAGTTCTTCATGTATTTTTAGATACTAACCCTTTATCAGATATGTCATTTGCAAATATTTTTTCCTGTTTAGTAGTTGTTGTGATCCTTTATTTTTAAAATAAATTAATGTTGTTGCTTTTACTGTTCTATTAAACTTTAAGTCATATATGAATTAAGATTTTATTTTTTCTTCCACTGTGTGTTTAGTCTCTGAAACCAATTTAATTTGTTTTTTATTAGTTTTTTGTTTTTTTTGTTTTTTTTTTTTACAATAGTTGCCACAAAGTGTATGTTACATTAGTTTCAGGTGTACTCTGGAACCAGTTTTTAGTTGTCAGTTCATGAGCTCCTCTTTGGTCAATGCATTGTGATTTAGAAGTATTCTGTGGTCAAATATAAACGCTGTATAACTCCATAATTTCTCCTCAGTTTGAAGAATTTTTCTTTTCTTTTCTAGCCTTTAATCTAGACAACGAGCAACCCGATTATGATATGGATTCAGAAGATGAAACCTTATTAAATAGACTTAACAGAAAGATGGAAATTAAGCCTTTGCAATTTGAAATTATGATTGACAGACTTGAAAAAGCCAGTTCTAATCAGGTACTGTACCTTGTAAAAATGTCTCCTGTCTTACAGTTAATCCAGTTAGCAACTTTATTTTGCATTTCCTTTAGATCTGAGTATATTGTATTATACTGCCTTTTGAATTTTCCTGACATCCTAGAATTTCCGTTCACAGTATTCCTTGAACTGAATACTTAAGCATAATTTCTTTGAATAGGAGTATGTAGAGTACTATTCTGACCTTTCTTGTTTGTATAGAAAAATAATATTAGCTGCAATGCTACATAACATCTTGATCCTTTTCGTAGGCTAAATTTGCTTGGTTGTGTCTCTAAGGCAGATATCTCATACCAAATCCTTAGTTGCTCAGATTTATTAAGGTACCCATTATCATTTTAGATGTATTTTAGTTTTACTTATATATTATTTAAAATTTTAAGTGAAGAAAAAATTATTCACAAGGGAATAATTTTCTTTAGTGGGTCATTCTAAATATGGTATAGAGAACTGAAAGTGGTATGGTCTTTTTGGAAAGCGATTAGGCAGCAGATGTCAGGAAACTTAAAATGTTTTTGCCTTTTGGTTTAGTCATCCTACCTCTAGGAATCATTCTAAAAAAAAAAAAAATTAGTGAAAATGTCAAAGATTTTTGAACAAGGATGTTCAGAATAACTTACAAGTTGTCTGTAGGGTGGAATATCACACAGCCATTAAAAACTATTTTGAATATCAATGGAAATTGCTCATATATAATGTTAGAGTTCAAAAACAGGATACAGAACTGTTTAAGTACAAAACTCTGAGATTCATTTAAAGCATTTACATTTATATGTGTGCATTGAATGAAAGATGAAAGCCCAACAAAATACCAGTAATGGTTCTATTTAGGTGGTAGAATTATTGGTGATTTTTATGTTCTTTATTGTTTTTCTGTTTTCCAAATTTACTGTTATGAACATGTATAGATATTGTAATTGGATTTAAAAAATAAACTATTTTTAAAAATAATTTCTTGGTGTACCTGTGTGGTGTATTAATATATTAATTGTTATTAATGTAGTAAAAAGTTACAGAAATAAATAAATGTTTTACAGTAGACTGTAAACACTTTTCACTAGTTTATCCATTACAAATTCATTATTTTCCTTTACCTCCCAACTTAAGTCCTTGAAGCATTACCAGCTCTTCAGAATATTTTAAAAAACTTCTCCATTTTGTGAAAGGACTTTGCTGCATATTTAGCCTTTCTACCAGTCTTTTACCCCCATTTGGATGGAAAGTAATATTTGATGTGCAATCGAAAGAAGTACATTGAAAACTGAATTTTGTAAAATTCAGCTTAGTTGGTTTTTTGAGAGCTTGACTTTTTTTATTGGAAATTTGTTTTAATTATCAGATTGAATATCAAAAATATTTTTATTAGTGCTCACAGTTTTCCTAAGATTTTGTTCACTGGCATTAAGTGTGATTTCATTTTTCTTCTTAATAGGCAAACTTTTCTAGCAGTCCAAGTTTAGTCTTTATTTTGGTATTTGTGCTATTTTCCATGATTGATCAGAAATTACTGGTGGTGAAGCCTTCAGCTCTCTGTTCTGTAATTTGCTTTATTTCATTTCTGTCAGTAATAGTTATTTAGTACTTAGGTGAGCAAGTTCTGCCCTTGGGGAGCTTATTATCTAAGTGGGGACAGGATAAACAAAAAGCCCATGTGTGAACAATACAATTAATGATCCACGTACAATCAGTAAAATATCGTATTTTACTTCTCTTTGCTCAGTGACAAGCTTTTAAACCCTAAAACTGGGTAAGCTCAGAGCATGATAGTACGTGCTTTCCAGCAGTGTTGTAGACAAAGGTGGAGGTTCATCTTAGGGAAAGATAATGGTACTGTTATTAGGACTAAGGATTAAAGATACCAAAGGCTGTTCTCATTCCAGGTGCCTGAATTGTGGATTCATGGATTTCTTTTATTTTTCCTTTTTGGCAGCTGACATAGTAGCAGATCTCAAAGCAAGGAATCACGTTTGTGGTTAAAGCAATATTTTAAAAAAATTGTTTTTAAAGCAATATTTATTAGGTTGGTAGAGAAGACATAAAAGATAGACTGAGACAAAGCTTCTGCCCCCGTCATTCTGTGTTGATTGCTGCAATGAAGTCATTACTGAAAATTCCTGTTGCCAAATACTGTGATTATTTTCAGTCCCCATTCATTTATTTTAATTGAGCTCTCCTTATTTCTTCAAACTCATCACCTTTGGTCTTTTGAATATACTTTATTCTTTTCTGATTTTTTAAGTTATTTTCTGTGATCATTCCTTCTAATTGTCTTTTACCGAGTCTTTTTCATTAATTCCTACACAAACATCAGAGTTTCTTGAAATTCTGTCCTTGGTATTCTTATCCTATATGTTTGGGGTTAATACCACCTTAGCGAGGACTTTTGTGAGGTAATAATACATATATCCTTACCCTTGACCTCCTTCTCAAGCTCCAGGACTTTGTTTTTTCTCTTTTCGTGCTACCTGTTGGCATCTCCACGTAGATGGTCCACAGACCTCTCAAGTGTAACTTTTCTGACATACTCTCTTAACTACACATGATCCTTTATCATATTCCTTATCTCTCCAGTGACTCCCAAAATTCACAATGATATGTTTTTTATCCCTTTTCCATCAGTCCCTAAATTTCTAATTTCTTCCTCAATGCACCTGTATATTCCTTGCATATTTCATCTTTAATTATCTATTCTCTCTTCAGTCTCTCTCTTTGCCCAAAAATGTGCCAAGGGTCTCTATTTCCAAGAGAACCCTTTCATTTCACCCCATCTTTCTCTATAAATTGGCCACCCTTTGTCTCTCTCTCTCTCTCTCTTTTTTCTTTTTTTGGTCAGTCACGTTTTAAAAAGATGAGACATTTTTTAACTTTTACTCCTACTCCAATGCATTTCAGTATACTGATTGCACCCATGTCACCAATGGCCTTCTCATTGTCATCCATCCATTTCAGCCTGTATCCTACTAAATAACCCCATGGTATTGGATGCTGTTGACCTCCACATTTCTCAGATTTTTTCTTCTTAATTCATCTCCTCTTCCTCTACATCATGTTGCTATTTCCTTCAGTATCTGTCCTCAGAATTTATACTTGTATCTTAAGCTACCAGCACAAGCACTCCCAGATGGAATATTTTGTGATTCTGTCCTTTATCTTAATGCTCTGAGTTCTAAAGTTCTGACATTGTTCTCTTATTGTTTAAATTGTATTTGTCATGCCTTGATTGCCATATTTTAAGTTTCTGTTGGTAGTAGTTTTATCTTGAAATTTTTTTCCTAATTTACCCACAACGTATACAACACAGTGATAGGCTGATAGTAGTTATTAACTATTTATTGCTTAACTGACTATATTTTTAAAACATTACTTTTTATATATAATTTATTCATTTTTGTATTATAAATGTATTTCTTGAAATTGCTGAACCATGAATCTGTATGTAAACAAACTAAGTGATCCTTGTCCTCGTGAAGCTAGTGGCAATCTAGAAGAAAAGCCCAGCTAGTGGAGTAATTTTTATCTCATCTCCAAGCCCCCAAAGTAAGTAAATCAAACAACTCAGAGGTATCTTAGAAATAATAAATTTTACTGACTTTTTTGTCAAGTAAATACTGGTTTCCATTGCTTTTTAGTAGAGAAAGTGCTAAATGGCAGAACTTTTTTCTTAAGGTAGAAAAGTAGTAGGATTCTGATTTTGTGGAATCTTAATCCTGTGTCCTAATAATTTGGGACTACTTTATCTGCAAATAGTTCTTGCCCACTCAAATTGATGCTGTCATCATGATGATGCAGGTGGTACTGCTAAAGATAATTTTAACAGAATGATTAAAACTCAGATTACCCAATAAAATAAAAATTTATAGCAACATAAAAACATCAGTCAACTGAGAAATATAGTTAACATTGGAAAGAAATGTCAGGATGTTTAATTATAAACAGTGTATATTGAATTCTTATTACCTGACATATAAAGAGGGTACTTATCAACCAGGCAGAAGGACCTTTGTAAAAGGAGCAAGAAGCGCCAGAGAAGGAAATCTGATGCTGTGTTAATCCCCTTACATCTCCTTCAGGAGGATAGGAAGCGGTGTTATCCTGATAATATTATATAAGAAACTTACTACTGCTCTGTGGCTTCATAGGAAGAAACCTATCCTCCTCTCCACTCTAAAGTTAGAGTATGTTCTTGATATAATTAGTGAAGGTTCCAAAATTTTATCAGAAGCAGAATGACCAAAGAGCTGAAGATGTGTAGCATATCACAGCATTGTTTCCCTTGGTCCCCAGAGCACACGAAAGCTGCCAGTGATGTTATGATGCTGTAAGCATGAGGTCGAATTTTATTAGATCCAGAAAGTTTGGTTCTTATTCTACCACTGGCATTGTAGACTCTGGACTATTCCAGAGAACTTCAGCTAACAAAGATGCCCATTTAAAGTTGATGTTTGGAAATACGGGTTCTTTTGGTTAGGTCTCTTGTTCCAGGCTCTGGCCCTCCACTTTAGAGACCAAGTTACTCAGCCTTTCAGATGCATTTAAGATGACTTCTGAGACATTGAATAAGCCAAACTATAGTCACATACAATTTTATTGCATTAAATGTAATCATTACATGGACTAGAATACTTGAGTTGTCATTGTCAGTGTATGCTCTTCCTGTGGCCAGTCTTGGCAGCCAGATTATAATAAGAAACCAACTAATTAGCCCTGGTAATCACCATCATAGGACTAAAAGTCCAATGATCATAGCATTTATTCCATGAAGTTATACCAGTATGAAAAATCAGATCTCAGAAATTTATTTGGTTGGTCATGCTATCTTCAGTTGACTTCATACAACCCTCAGATCAATTCCTATATTGATCTTACAGTTTCAGAGAGAAAATTTTCCCCTTCATTTCCAGGTTTTAGGAAAACATTTCTTAGGAGATATCTCAACTTGTTTTGAAAATGAATCTTCATCTCCAAAATGATAAAAGTAAAAAGATTGAGATGCACTTCATTGAGGTTTTCCAGCCTTAAAACTCCATTATCTTTTTCTAGAGTTCACTGTAAATGGATATGGTTAACCCATAATCCATCCTGCTAAAACTGATCGGTCTATTTGATCTTCACAAGCAGTAAGGAAACAGATGTGACCAAGCAAATTTTTACAAACCTTAGTTGGATATGTCAACATTACATTGACTGCATTGATAAAGGAGAAGTAGATCCCTGAAATATCAGTGTGAGAGTTCCTAGAGGAACCATCCTAGGATCACTGTTCCAGACATAACTATGTCATTAGCAGAATGGGTGTTGAGAACAATGATTCTCTAGTACTTAACCAGTTTGGATAGAGGAATTGCCTTTATATGTAATTAGTACAAGAAATTCAAAATTGTATAGTGTTGAAACTTCAGGAAACATGCTAAGTTCTTTTACAATCTTAAACTTGTTATATTATTTGCAATATAGTAGAGAATATTCATCTTTCATTTTACAGGGAGATAGAAAAACCTGTATCTTCTAGTTTTTGTTGAAAAACAAAAGCACAGAAAGAATCTATTAGACTGTTGAAAACTAGTAGATCTTCAAATGTGTAGAATCACAGAATATCAGAATTTTGATGGACCCTAGATATATATTCTAGTCCAAGACTTAACTGAGGCATAAATGTGTTGCAGTCTTTCCAACTGTTGTTCATTTAGGCTTCTTAAATATTTTAAGTTGTGGTACTTAACTACCTCTCAGAGCAAAATATAAATTTTTAGATAAATCTTATCAATAAATTCTTTGTAAAATTTCAAATTGAATTGTGTTTTCTGCCATCATGTCTGATCATAATTGTTAGACTGATCACATTTTTTCTATAGGTATATAGAGCTTCACTTTGATTTCTCTTTTTCAAACCTTATAGTTGATGACAATTTGTATTTTTCATTTAGCTTGTAACACTTCAGGAAGCAAAACTGCTGCTAAACGAAGATGATTACCTTATTAAAGCTGTGTATGACTACTGGGTAAGAAAACGTAAAAACTGCAGGGGGCCGTCCCTCATTCCTCAGATAAAACAAGAGAAAAGAGACGGCTCTACCAACAATGACCCTTATGTTGCCTTTCGGAGGAGAACAGAGAAAATGCAAACTCGAAAGGTAATGTGCAAATTAGATTTAATTGGGTGTTCCTTAATAGTAGTTAAGACCAATTTTTTTTCTGCTAATAAGTTCCAGTAATTTTGAATACCTTGAACATAACAGGGGAGCTAATAACATTGTTAAACCTAATGTTAGAAATCCTGCTCTTCAGTAGCTTCCATCGGTCAGCTTCTATTGGTATAATATCTAATACCCATGCCCTTTATAAGTCTACTGCTTATACTGTTTCAGACTTGCAATTGAAGTAGTAAAAGGAATTACGTATCTTTATGTACCTCAGAAATTTGAGTTATTCAGTAAATTATATATACGCTCCATACATACCCTCTTGTTTAGGAAGCTTAAGAGCTTATAGCTCCTTTGGAAACCACATTCTAATTCTTGCAAATAAAAATGGACTTTACTGCTTCTAGCTACTATGGGGTCATGGGAAGTAGGGAAAAGTTCATTTTCAAGCCTGTTCTGCCAATAGTCAAAAGTAACAGTGGAATGTTTTTCTTCCTTTCTGAGTTGTCCATTGTGTCAAATTTCAAATTGATGAACTTATCCCCATCTGCCTTTCTGAAGCAGTGTGAGCTGGAATTTTAAGTAAGAGAAAAAGGGTCTCGTGTGGAATGATATGGTATACAGGAAGGTATTACTTCGGAGGGGGTATTCCCTGTCTTCCGTTTCTCATATTTAACAGTAAACACCATACACAGTAACACATTCTCTAACATGTAAAAAATTAGAACATGTAAATGTAAAAGCCATGAGGAATTAAGATTTGGAGGCAAAGCATTTTCTGTGGATTCCAGTTTCTCCTAACATTAAAAGCTTGTTCTTGTCAGTTGTTAGTATAACAGCTGTGAAGCGTAACAGCTGCCAGGAATGGTATATTTTAGGAGAAATTCTCCTGCTGGTTAACAACCATTTTCTGTAAGTCTTTCTTGGATTTCCCAAGTGTAGATGACATTCCCTAACCCAGGCTAAGTTTTCAATTTGGCTAAGGAAATCTAAGATACTTTATGAAGATTTAATGTCTTGCTTTTAGAAAAGACTAAAATGAGGTAAGTTTATAAATATAGACAATTGATTCAGATATATTGCAAAACATAGACTTTTAGCAATGTCTTTTTTTTAAAATAATTTATTGTTATGTTAATCACCATACATTACATCATTAGTTTTTGATAGCAATGTCTTTTGAAGGAAGAATACCATTGGACTTATTTTAGTGAGAGGGTAAGAAGTACTTAAAGTTAGCAGTATTTATGGGCGTGTAAAAGAATATTCTAAATATTTAAATTGGTTTAATTCTTAAATAGGTTAAATCACTCTTTTCTACCCAGTGTATATTGAGAATTGCTAGAATGGGTTCCTGTGTTTACGTGCTTCACCATTGTGCGATAACTAGTACCACTTTTTCCTGACACACCGATTTCTACCCTTTCTCTTACCTGTTACTTTCACCTTCCTCTGCAGAGTGGTACATTTTCTTTTCTGGTAGTCTTTTTATGCCTCTCTGTTTTCAGTTGTGGGACCAAAGACCCCTTCATGCACACTAATACTGCTTAGAAATGTTTGTGTTTCAAAATGGGAAAGTTGGGAAAGCAGTTAACAGTAAATACCCCTCGGTGTTCCAGAGGTGGGCAAGCATTAGGATATACAAAAATGAATACAGCTAACAAAGGTTCTCTACTTCCTTTTCTGTTTCCACAAAATTGAAAACACGTGTATAGCTAGATACAAAGGTGCTAAAATAAAGGACTTCTGAAATATTTGCTTGGCAGTCTAGAATTTAATTTTAATTCACTAATATTTAATTTGCAAGTGGTTAAGTACTTAAGGACATTCTTAAATGAGACCATCTTAAGGCACCAGCATGTCTGAAAGCACTGGGAAGTCTTGAATCAGCATGTGTGTTTAATATGTTTAACCCCATAGATACAATTGTTGACATCTGTGCTTTCTCTCCTCCCTCTGTGTGGCCCAGAATAAACGAGATAGACAGGAGAGGAAACTCAGTAGTTGTTCTCAGTCTGGCTCCATAAAACAATCTCCTGGGAATTATCCTTGGTTATAAAAAAATCTATAGTTAATTCTGAAGTGCAGCAATTTGAGAAAGTAAAAAATAAAAATATATAAAGTGCAGCAGTTTGAGAACCACTTCCTAGAGATTTGGCAGTAGGTCAGAACTATAATATGTAACTGGGAATAGGGAGAAAAGAGTTGGTCCAGAGCAGAGACCGTTGTGAGGAAGGAAGTGAGTGGATTTGAAAACAGGGATAGGGCCATCTTAAAAGCATGGAAAAAGTTTCAGTATGAACTCACTGTTTTTATAGAGAGTCAAATAGATATAGATCTGTGCATGTATATGTATATACATATATAACAGTTGTATTTCTTCTGTTTGCTAAGAGGGTCTAGAAGCAATGATGCTCAAGAGCAGTGACCATGCCTAGCATGTAGATCCTGATTTTTAAATACCAATTTCCATTAAAAGGAACCAGGGCTTCTTAGTAAAATGGTGTTTCCAGGTCTAGGGCTGGGAAAGTATAAAGATAAGCTTGGAACATTCTGCTGTGCCAGGAACTAAGACTGTTGATTGAAGTTTAAAGAATGTTGGACCAATGTCAGAAGGCCTGAAGAGCCAGCTTGAAGGGGGGGCTCTACTAACCAGATGTGGGAAAATTTGAAGTGTCAAAATAAATAGAGTAATGAATAACCCATAGAGTATATAAGTAACCCTTGAGTCCATACTAATATAAATGAATGGATGGATAGATGGATGAATGGATGCTTGGTAGATTAATTGATAAAAGAGAACACTTTTTGTTACAGTAGAATTTTAACTTTCAAGTGTCACTGGAATGAGGAAGTTTGAAAATCACCATGATAGTAATACTAATAAACTATTGGGAGGAAATTTGATGAGAAACAAGGTAGTATCATTTAATTCCTGATACAAGAGAGGGATACAAAATCATTTCTGTGATAATCCTATTAAGAATATATAACCTGGGCGCCTGGGTGGCTCAGATGGATAAGCGTCTGCCTTCGGCTCAGGTCATGATCCCAGGGTCCTGGGATCGAGTCCCGCATCGGGCTCCCTGCTCAAGTGCAGAGCCTGCTTCTCCCTCTCCCTCTGCCATTCCCTCTGCTTGTGCTCTTCTGTCTATCTCTCTGTCAAATAAATAAATAAAATCTTTAAAAAAAAAAAAAGAATATATAACCTGAATTTAATTGTGGAAAAACATCAAAGAAACCCAAACTGAGGAACATCCTACAAAAATGGCCTCTGTTCTTTAAAAATGTCAAGATCATGGCGGGGGGGGTGCCTGGATAGCACAGTCAGTTAAGCAGCTGACTCTTGGTTTCAGCTCAGGTCGTGATCTCAGGGTCGTGGGATGGAGTCCTGCGTCAGGCTCCGTGCTCAGTGTGGGGTCTGCTTAAGACTCCTCCCCCTCATATAAATAATCTTTTTAAAAAATGTCAAGATCATGATCACTGTAGAAAGACAAAGGAACTATTCCAAATCATAGGAAATGAAAGAGACATGACAACCAAAACAGTTGTAATCCTGAATCAGATCCTAGACCAGGAAAAAATTTGCCATTATGAGTGAATTTAATAATAAGAATTGTCCCACTAATGTCCTTTATGGCAACGATTACATAAATATATAAAAATATATTTAACAGTTATATTTGTTGCCATAGAGGACATTAGTGGGACAATTAGTGAAATATGAATAAAGTCAATGTTAATTTCCTGATTTCCGTACTAGTATTGGTTATATAAGAGTATCACTGTTTCTAGAAAGTCTATATTAAAGTGCTTAGGGATGAAGGGGCAGTATATATTCAACTGGTCTCATTTTTTTTTTTAAATACGACTGCTAATTTTACATATTTGTGTATGTTTTTATATACATTCATGTATATATGTCTTAGTCCATTTAGGCTATTGTAACAAAAATACCAGAGACTGAGTGGTTTAAACAACAGATTTCTTTGTCACAGGTCTAGAGGCTAGGAGGTCTGATATACAGGTACCAGCAGATTCAGTGTCTGGTGAGGGCTTACTTCTTGGTTCATAAGTCACCTTGCTGTGTCTTCACATGGTGGAAGGGGCAAGAAAGCTCTCTGGGATCTCTTTTATAAGAGTACAAATCTATTTGTGAGGACTCCACCCTCATGACCTAATCACCTCCCAAAGGCCCTTCCTCTAAATAACATCACATTGAGAGCTTGGAGTTTCAACATGAATTTTCAGGGGACACAAACATTTAGTCCATGGTAGTATAGATTAAATAATATATGTATATACATAGAGATAAAGTAAATGTGAAATAATAACATTTGGGCAATCTAGATGAAGATATATAGGAATTCTTTATACTGTTTTTGTAACTGTGTAAATCTGAAATTACTTCAAAATAAAAGGTAAAAAAAAAAGAGTAGAAAAGACAGGACAAGAGAAAGGAAAAGTTAGAAAAGGTAGTTATTTGGGCCTAAAGAGAGCAAGAAACAACTGGTTAAGACAGGGCAGAAGCGTATAGGCCACAAGAACACTTAGTGAAGAGGGGGGTAATCTTAAAAGGTTCTGGTGCACTTTTAAATATTGTTCAGCTGGCATGTAGCCTTGTATTATTACTCATCTTTTTATGTCTCATTCTCATTAGACTTCAAGCCTTTTGAGGGTAGGGGACCTGTGCAGTACTCTCTACAGGGGGACACTTTAATATTTGCTCTTGGTAATGTTAATTTTTTTTCAGTTAAAAGGTATTACTGCTGCCTGCTTGCCAAAAATTTTTGCTCAAAACCATACTTTAGATTTTGCCTTTTGTCACGTAGTACTGGAAGGGGGGAGAAGATTAATTTCCTTTTGATAAGGTAAAAGACTGACTTACTAACATAGCATTTTAAAATATAAATATGCAGTACCTTAATAGGACTTAGTTTAGGTTATGTTTTATAGGTGATGATTAATTTTCAAATACAAGAAACTACACATAAAAGAGAGTAAAACTGAATCTCAAGTTTTATTTTCTCCTTTATAGTCCTCCAGTATGAAGCCTGGCTTCAGGTTCCTTCTAATGTGATATTGCATTCTTTATTTTGACAATAAAAGAGAGGGACAATACAAAAGATTTGGTTAATATTTACAAGTAATTTTTCACATCAAATCAATTAGGATATGCTCATAAATCCTTATTTCTTAAAACTGTTCAAATGGTCAGAGCGAGTATTTATAAATTCTTTCTTCCAGAGTATATTCCATATCTGTTTTGCTATCAGCAAGCACACCAAATATTTGTGATCCTTGCTTGATGAGGTGACAACAGCTTTTATTCCTGCAGAGTTTGTGTCCTTAGTAGTTATCTCTTTAATATATTGTGTTTTTTTTTTTTCTTTTAAGGTTTTATTTAAATTCTAGTTAGTTAACATATAGTGTATTATTAGTTTCAGGAGTAGAATTTAGTGAGTCATCACTTACATGTAACACCCAGGACTCATCACACCAAGCGTCCTCCTTAATGCCCATTACCCATTTACCCCATCCCCCCACCCACCTCCCCTCCAGCAACCCTCAGTTTGTTCTCTATAGTTAAGAGTCTCTTATGGTTTGACTCCCTCTCTGTTATTACTTTATTTTCCCTTCCCTTCCCCTATGTTCATCTGTTTTGTTTCTTCAACAGATGAGTGAAATCATAGGGTATTTGCCTTTCTCTGACTGACTTATTTCCCTTAGCATAATACACTCTAGTTCCATCCATGTCATTGCAAATGGCAAAATTTAATTCTTCTTTATGGCCGAGTAATACTTCATTTTATAAAGTATATGTACACACACACACACACACACACACATCATCTTTATCCATTCATCAGTCTGTGGACATTTGGGCTTTTTCCATATTTTGGCTATCGTGGATAGTGCTGTTTATAACATTGAGGTATATGTGCCCCTTCAAATCACTATTTTTGTATCCTTTCGGTAAATACCCTAGTAGTGCAAGTGCTGGGTCATAATGTCATATTGCGTTATTAACTCAAGGATGCAAAGATTGCTTAAGTGCAGTCTGTCTGGATACATAGAATGAGAGGTAGTAATGGTCTGTTTTTAAACAAATAGTTCCATGCCTAATATAAATATTCTGTGGTTATTTGATTAAACAAAATATATTAACAGTAACTTTCATATGCAAATAGATGCTGCCAATTACAACTGAGCTTGTCTAGTTACTAGGCAGGACTTTCACTCTGAGTTCTAATTAAATCTTATGCTTCAAAGTAGGAACTTCTTAACAATACTCTGAAATTCAGAGTTTTCTACCCTGCAATGAGGTGCTAATTACCTTGAAACATAATAATTCCATTCCTTGAGATGCTTTATATCCCACTTTCAGTGTTACATCTTGAATTTCTGAAGTGAAGTTGTGCTTGTCATTGTACGTGTTTACATTGTGGTGTATTGACCCTTCCAGCCCACAATTACAGAGCTGGATGCATGGATAGAGACCCATTTTGGCTATTTTTAGGTAACCTTGATTTGACAGAACTGTTTCGCTCTGTCACTGGAAAATACCTTGCAACAATTTGAATGGGCTACATTTTCTGGTACACTAGGTTTTGTTTCAGGCAGACTTTTAAAATTTTGTTTACATTGGAATAATCCCTTCTGTTATTCCATCTTTTCAATAATGGGCAACATTTTTTTTTTATTTGAGAGCTGTTTCCTTTCACTTCTATTTTCAGAGTTAAATACATAGGTTCTCTTATGTAGTTACTGTTTAAGATGATTTTCTACATTTAACATTTTGCTTTTATGGAACATATTTGTCTCTCAAAAGATTTTGTTGAATGAAAATGGAAATGTGGATAATTAGATTAATTGTTTAATCTAAAATTATTTTCAATAGAATCGTAAGAATGATGAAGCCTCTTATGAAAAGATGTTGAAATTGAGACGAGAGTTTAGTAGAGCCATAACAATTTTGGAAATGATTAAGAGAAGAGAGAAAACAAAACGAGAATTATTGCACTTAACCTTAGAAGTTGTGGAAAAAAGGTAACATTGCTACTGTTATATACTAAATATACTAATCACAGCTTTAGGCAAATGATGGGCAAAATATAACCAAATGGTATGTTTTGTTTTGTTTTTTGCCTAGCTTTAAAACAACTGAAATAGATTCTCAAACAAAATCTACATTTTTTGAAGAATTCTTGTGTTACTATTTTTTTTAAAAAAGTAGATTATCAGTTTGGATGCAAATTTGGGGAATATTTTTGTGTGTAATATGTATAGATTCTCTAATACACTTAATTTTTTTTTTTTTTTCAGAATCATTGGATTTTATTTAGAAAAGAACCTGGGGATCATTTTGACTGTTCTTTTTATGTTTCCATTAAAATTTGAGGGAAATGAATATTTAAATGATTTTATTTTCTGACTAGGTAGAAAGCATTTTTTTTGTTTCAGCGCATTTTAACAACGTGTTGTCTGTGGGGCACCTGGGTGGCTTAGGCAGTTAAGCGTCCAGCTCTTAATTTCAGCTCAGGTCATAATCTCAGGGTCCTGGGGTCAGGCCCCCCTCAGCAGAGGACTCCATGCTCAGTGGGAAGTCTGCTGGAGATTCTCTCTCTCTTTGTCCCTCTGTGCGCCCCCTTCTGCGTGCACTCTGTTTCTAGAATGGATAAATAAATTTTTTTTTTTAAATGTGTTCTCTAATGTAATAGTCATTTTCCTGTATAATTAAATAAACTATACTAAGCCTAACAGAATTTTATGTGATTCCTAAGGTAAGCATTCTAAACATCATTTCCCAGTGTTTGAAAATATTAAATATATGAGAAATTTGTCTTCTGTGTCCCTTAGAGATTTGGGGTTTGTTTTTTTTTTTTTTTGGTTGGTTGGTCTGTTTTTACTAAATCCCAAATATGAACTTCTTTATTCCTGTAAATTTTTAAAGAATAATCTGATTAATTGTTGATTCTGTTCAATTAGTTGTATTCCAGTTCATTGCAATATCGTTTTTATTTTTTAAACTATAAAACATTTTCTTATATTTTATTACTTTTCCAAGATATCATTTGGGAGACTATGGTGGTGAAATCCTTAATGAAGTGAAAATCAATAGATCAGAAAAAGAGTTATATGCCACTCCAGCAACTCTTCATAATGGAAATCATCACAAAGTCCAAGAATGTAAAACTAAGGTGAATATCCTCTGGGGAGAAACACATACGGTAATATTGATCAGACAATTACTAGTTTCATCAGTTATCTTAGTATAGTTTGGTTAAGGAAAAACATAATTAACGTGTTGTTTTTACTATTTGCCAAGCACTTTGCTAGGAATTTTTACATACGTATTAACTCATTATTCCCTACAGCAGCCCTTTGACATAGATTTTACCGCTGTATGACTTCTAGATCATATAGCTGATAAGGGCCTGATTCAAGGTTTAGGTCTAGGTCTAACAACCAAAAACCATGTGCTTTTCACTATGCCATCTGCTTCCCTAAAAAATATGGGTAAAGTTTACTTGTTATCACTAGCCTTAGCACATCCTGTGTTGTAGTGGCAGGCATCAAAATCTTAAGATTAAAGCTTTCTTCATTGGGACTATTGAAAGTTATTCTTATTTTCATCATTACTTCCAGAACCAGCATTTATCAACTGCTATCTACTTGGAGTGATTTGAAGAAGTCCTATAAGTTCCAGATCCTATTTTCTTCCTAATAGAAAGAGCTAGACTCCATGATTATTTTAGTCTCTTAGACTTAAAGGAATTGTATTTATTCAGTATTCATGTGGTACATTAATTATTCAATTGAGAAATAATAAAAATTAATAAAACTTTAAGGAGCTTAGTTTTAAATAAGAAATAGGTATTGACTATTTAGATCGTAGAGCTTTACTCTGTAGCAAGATTTAAAAAGCAACATAGGGTGTTTGTGGAAAATTCATCTTTTAAAAATGTACACAATTCTTATTTTTCATGGGTTCGCTCTTAAAGGTCAAAGAAGAATTTGGAGCAGGAAGACTCCTTTTATTCAACTGATGTCAATTTAAACACCAAAGTTCTTTCTTATTCATCACAGGCATCTAGCCCACCTACCTGATTCTTTTTAAATCACACTTGCCTCTATAGCCAAAAATTTACCAGTGCAATAAATGTAATTTTCTAAGTTATTTTTAAAATCCATTTTATATAAACCAATGCTTTTTTCAGGTATATGATTGGTAGGCATAGAATATGAAATCTCAACCTGAAATTACTGATAGAATCAGCTTTTGTTATATATTGATTCTTTTTTTGATCATCTGTAAGAATAAACATTCACCCTGTTTACTAGTTTTAGAGATATGGTTGCATCCATTGTTGTTCTACCCCATTATACATAGTTTATTTACTTGGCCACACATCCCACCTTAAAATATAGATGGTTTCTAAGAGTAGGAGTTTTCTTTTTGATGCCATAGCTATATCCATTGAATGAAACCTAGCTATATCACTAAATAATTTGCCATGTAAGCAACATTTTCATTGTATGTACCTTTTTTGACGCTGCAGTAGTTTTAACAATGTGGACTACATGGGAGAATATAGAACTTCCTAAATATATTTTCACTTTCATATTGCTTGTACTTTGGTGCTTAGAACAATTTTCAAACTTTTTAGGCAGTAAATCACTACTTATTAAAAGGAATACTGTTACGTTAAAACAGAGCTTCTCAACTGAGGAGTGGAGAGCAAGGGGCGCTGGAAACCCACCCCATTAGTCAGTCTCTTGCCAGGTGGCCTCTTAAGTGCTGTCACAGCGTTCTGGGGTACTTGAGAACAGTTTGATTATTGTTCAGTTGAGGCAGTAATTACGCATTCTAAAAAAGTAAAAGTTTTTTTTCTAGTTAATAAACTTATTTTTCTCAAAAAAATTACCAGCTGTAGAAATTTTTAAAAATTGGAAGTGTAGAAACAAATTAATGCATTTATAATCTAATTCAAGTTATTTTAAAAATAAAGTTATTAATACAGTGGATTTAAATAAAATTGAATTTGAGTACTTCTAAATGCTGGATTGCATAATAGAGCAATTATTAAAAATCACTAACATCTTAAAGTATAAATAACAATATAAAAGCAAATTACCATTATGATTTTTAATAACTTGCAAAAAGTAAAACATCTTTCAATTTATGATCACATAATTTTTGCATATTAAAAACAGTAAATAAAATCACCTCCTGGGTAAAAATGTATGTTTTTCAAAGAGGAGTATAGTTTTTCATGATTTCTAAAATGATTTTCATTTCTTCCTTTTGGGGGAAAAATCGTCATGTAAACAGCACCCTCATCATTTGTCTTTGAAAGAAGAGGCTTCTGATGTGGTTCGTCAAAAGAAGAAGTACCCAAAGAAGCCTAAAGCAGAGGCTTTGATAACATCTCAGCAACCCACTCCTGAGACATTGCCTGTGATCAATAAGAGTGATATTAAGCAATATGACTTTCACAGCTCAGATGAAGATGAATTTCCACAGGTGCTTATTTTAAAACTATTTTGAAGACATTTCCTTTTAGTCTTTTATATTGCTATATTTTAAAACATAATTGACCTCTTAGTTTTGATTCTTACTCTCTTCACCTAATGTTATATAGCATATATACATTTTCCACATTATTTATGTGGCCACTGAAATGGTATTTACTTTCCATTATTTTCTATCAGTTGGGTAGAATTTATTCTCTGTGGAGCATTTAGCTGGTTTTCAGTTTTCCCTTTTATAAAAATGAACATTATTATTCTTTCCCTCTATATTTAAAGTAGACTATTAGAAATGGATTATCAGTATTTTAAGATAGTTAATACATAATTGTAAATATGGACCCAATAATAATTCTTTTTTTTTTTTTTACTATATTCCACCAGCATTTATTTTATAACTTTAATGTAAATTTTGCTACTTTGTTTGGTGATAACCATTTATTTTTAAAGATTTAGAAGAACTGATTCAAGTTGTAAATTGTGAGGACAGTTCTTTGGTTTATATTGCAACAGTTTATAGCAAAATATTTGCAATTTTAAAATCTTAATTTTACTTTCACACGTGCTATTTTTAAAATAAGACCTTTGTATATTAAAGGATCGATTTTAAAAGATATAGTTTAGTACCTCCTCTAGCAATACCCTTTTCATTTTTCCTTTCTATATGGTATAGGCAACCTAAAGAGAATGCTATATAACAAATATGTATTATTATATTGTAACATTTTTGCTTCATTGCATTAAAAGAAAAAAACTTTTAAACCAACATTACAGATATGTCTAGAAGCAAGTTTATGGTTGTAACTATTTAAAATCTAGAGTTTACATAAAAACGTAAAATGTGTCCCCTTTGACTAGATTATGTATTTTTTTTTACTCTTCTGTGACTAATTTATAGATAATATTTTAGTATTTCTCTGGGTTGTAACAAATGCACAAAGGTATGTTTAATTTAGTACACTCTTGAAAAGCACTTAATGAAATAATTCATTACATTTTTGTCAAAGGATTATCCAGTTAGACTCAGTGCTTTGAAGAGCCATGGGACATGGCCATTTTGAAGGAATGAGGAAATAATGTCCTAACAAATAGTAGTTTTCCATATAGAAAGAGTAGGAAGGGGCTCTAGGCGGAGGAAACAGCATATGAGGGAGAACTGCTAGCAGTTTGGCATTGCTGGAACATAAAACACAAAGGGGAAGCGAAGTTGAACAGAATGATGCTTGGAGTAGTAGCCAGGTGGCAAATGGCTTCTACTACATTATATATACTGGTATCTTACTAAAGAATTTTAAGTAAGAATATGACATGGTTTATTATATATCAGTAATAGTCTTATGTTGGTAGTACTCAGAATAGCTTACAAAGTTTTGCTTTACACCCCCAGCCCTTTAAGAATGACACATGGGATATTATGACCTGTAGAAACTTTTCCTTTCTTGCTGAAATCAGTCCATCACCTTGATGGTAGGGCACACTCACATGCTAATCATACAGTCCTCATGCATTAAAGGACCTTTGTTTCTGTTCTGAATTCTTGTGTTAACTCATATAGTCCCCAGCCCATAAACCCACGTGAAAATTTCAAAATTTTGAATTGTATTTTGAAACTTTTAGGTTCCTCTGAGTCCTTTTACTAGGTCTTTAAAAACCCTCATTAATTTTTATAACGATATCCCCTTGTTGCTAAAAAATAAGTATTTACCTATATAGTTGGATGTCATTCAGTGAGGCAGCTATTTAGGATGTAGCTCTTACAAAATCAGGACTTTCTTGCTGAAAAGATCATTAAAATAATATGTTTCTTCTTTGTCCAGTAAACAAGGAACAAAGGAGTAGGAGCCTTAAGAGAACAAACATTTTAACTTCAGACTTACCCAACTGATTTGCAGCAGAGCAGAATTAAAAACCCTGTCTTTTCTTGATCATGCTTCTGATTCTCCTAATATCAACTCTCTTCCTATGTCTCAGACTAAATCCTGGAATCCACTCCTGGGGAATGGTGGTCGGGGCAGAGGGGTGGTATACTTTATGCAAAGAATTTCTAAGACTTTGTAACACTTCCCTGTGTGTATTTTAGAAGAGGTAGATGATCTGAAAAGGAACCAAAGTATAAAATTCACATTTGGGATTTCCTTTCAAATTTCAGGTTTGGGGCTTGGTTCCCTGAGAAGAAGAATCAGCCCCAGCTTACTGTTTCTATGTCTCCCCCATAGGGTTGGTGGAGGTATATTGGAACCTCAAACAAATGCCTTTCTCCCCTGGATGACCCTGCTCAGTGGTAATTACCACAGTTTGGAAATAATGTGGAGAACACATTTTTCCTCTCAAAATAGGAAGAGAGGGATTTGTGAGGTTCAAAATTTGCAAGTAAATATGGTTGAGCCAGCGTTGTCAGAAAAAGAGATGTACTCCAAAGTGAAATTACGAGACTACTGAAACTTAAGTACCAAAACTTTTTTTTTTTTTAATTTTAACCATTATGGGTAGAAATTTATCTAAACCATATTATTTCTCTGCTGTATCAGAGTATATTTGTATATCATTTAATCCATTTTTTATGACATTTATAAAGTTTGCTCTAATGGATCAGTGTTGCCCCAGGGGTCCACTCACGTTATAGAGGGATGTTTATCTAAGATCACATGGTTCTGGGCACTTTTTAATTATGTGATAACAGCTCTTTGAAAGTCTTTATTTTTTCTTTTGCTGTCAGGTTGTGGGCTTATCACTTCTCTCTGCAGCCAGTCTGCAAGTCTTCTTTCCTCTTCTAATTTTCTGCTTCTGATCTGCTAAGTTTAAACAGTGATTTTATTAGACTGTATACCTGAAACTAATATTACACTGTATGTTAACTGGAATTAAAATAAAAACTTCTTTTAAAAAGTGATTTTTTAAAAATGAGTAAGGAAATAAGGAACTCCCTTTGAGAAAAATGTATGACCTACAATGACTTTGGGGAGAGCACTATTCATATGCCTTTTTTACTTCCTAGTTTTTGGCTTTATTACAGAGAAAGAAAGTTATTGCATAAAAATACATCTGTAGATGAAGCATAACTGTCAAAATAAAAGTGTTTATGGCCACATACATTATTTACAAAATATAAGTGGGATATATTAAAAACTCTACTAATTCTTAGGTACTTACATGTTCAGAAGCAATTAGACAATACCTTGTTGACTGTCCTGCAAGAACTAATCCATCCCAAATAATCATGTTTAACCGTAGAAAGTCTGTGCTAGTCTTTAACTGTTTGGGGGAATTTACTGCCTACTGTATGGAATATAGGAGTGATGTACTGTTTGTGATCAGATTCTGATTTTAGACCATTACAAAGATTGATCTGTTGGCTTTTGGTAACTCCTAAATAGAATGTCTCATGACTCTTTTTTCTAGGTACCATCCCCAGTATCAGAACCTGAAGAAGAAAATGATCCTGATGGCCCCTGTGCTTTCAGGAGGCGAGCAGGATGCCAGTATTATGCTGTAAGAACTTGGTTTTTGTAGTCTTTTTGTAAACTGGAATTAATAGATATTTCTTGTCAAGGTAGCTTAGTCTTGATCTAAAAATGGGAAGTCCATTGGCATTTTTTAGTTACTACCCCCTATACACATACCAGTAAAAGATGCTCAAAGGTACTGAGTCCTTTCAGAGGTTATTAAAAAATATCAGAATCCTTTACTTGGAAATTGATAATTTAAAATTCTAAATTTTAGAAATTTAGTGGTACTTTGGGCTTTAACTGTAGCTTCGTTTAGCAGTTACGAAAATTACTGCCACTGCTAGAGTTAGGTAAGCCCAGAATCTCTAATTGAAATTTTTTTTTTAAAGATTTATTTATTTATTTGAGAGAGTGTGCACACACAGGCAGTGGGGGAGGGTCAGAGGAAGAGAGAATCCTGAAGCAGACTCCCCACTCAGCGCGGAGCCCGACAAGGGCCTCAATCCCATGACCATGAGATCATGACAGCCGAAATCAAGAGTTGGCTGCTTAACAAACTGAGCCACCCAGGTGCCCCAAAATTTTGATTGTTGCTGTTTATTAAAATTTAGGGAAGTCCATCTTGGGCATACATACCAAGTAAGGATCAAACATAAAAGAATCGTTTTTAGACTTTCTTCATGGCGATATGTTATATAATAATACTCCTCAAACTTTTTGACACACTTAGAAATTGCTTTGTGCTATTAAGTCAAGTTTTGGTGCAGCATTATATCAGGAGTGACCCTCACTCCCAAATGCTCAGGTTTCAGATAAGGTATAACTATAGAATTATGAGGATAGCTTTCAGATATAACTTGCAGAGACCATTTGTCTTGCTGCATTATGGTAAACATCTACACTTCCAGCATTTCAGGGTTTGTGTGTGTGTGTTTAGCATAGAAGAGATAGAAAGTTATTTATTTACGAGTTATGCTAATGAGAAAAAGAGAAAATTATTATAAAAAGGTAGAGAAATGTTAAGGCCCAGAGAAATAAGGAAGTGTCAGCCTGACCCATACGTACATGCTTAAAGTAAAATTTTTGGTTCAAAAACAATTTCCCTTCTGGTTTATATCAATAGGAAGCCTATACATTACTAACTTTACTATCTCTGCTTTTCTACATAGATGTTAAAAGCCATATTTTTCTTTAAAGATATATTTCTTCTAATATATATTATACCCTAAAATATTAAATTCAATTTCAGTTATTTTGGTGAGAGAACTTTTTATTCAGTTTTATAAAGTTTTATCTTGTTAATGTCATTTAAACCCCAATTTTACAGTTTTATATCTAAATTTTAATTGCCCTGCTAATGCTGTACTTTATTTTTATCATGATGTAACTTCTCTTCATTTCAGATATACTCCATGAGCTTTAATTTTATTTCTTTCTTTGCAGCCTCGTTTGGACCAAGCTAACCACTCATTTGAAAATTCAGAATTGGCAGATTTGGATAAGTTGAGGTATAGGCATTGCCTTACAACGCTCACAGTCCCAAGAAGATGTATAGGATTTGCAAGGAGGCGAATTGGCAGAGGTGGAAGGTAAACAATTTGTTTTGGCCTGGTTTTTGTTTATAAACTAGAGGGGACGATATAAAGAAAATGTTAAGTTCTTCCAGATAATACTTGGTTTTATATTGTTTTTTCAGGGTCATAATGGACCGAATATCCACAGAACATGACCCAGTCCTGAAACAGATAGACCCTGAAATGCTGAATGGTTTTACAAGCTCTTCCCAAACTATAGACTTTTCTTCTAATTTCATTCGGACCAATGCTTCCAGTAAACATTGTGAAAATAGACTGTCCCTTTCTGAAATATTAAGCAATATCAGATCATGTCGACTACAGTGTTTCCAGCCAAGGCTACTAAATTTACAGGACAGTGATAGTGAAGAATGTACCTCAAGAAAATCAGGGCAGACTGTGAACAATAAAAGAGTTTCTGCAGCATCTGTAGCTTTATTGAACACCAGCAAGAATGGCATATCAGGTAAGCTGTCACTTTGTTAAAAGTATATTCTCTTTTTTTCCTCCTTAATTTTCATTATCCACTAAATAAGTGCTAAGTCCTCAGGGTAAATTTTGAAAGTTTATTTTTTTTAAAGATTTTATTTATTTATTTGGTAGAGCACAAGTAGGCAGAGCGGGAGGGAGAGGGAGAAGCAGGGTCCCCACTGAGCAGGGAGCCGGACGTGGGGCTCGATCCCAGGACCCGGGGATCATGACCTGAGCTGAAGGCAGATGCTTGACCAACTGAGCCACCCAGGTGCCCCTTGAAAGTTTATTTTCATAATCCCACTGAAGAAAGGAATTTTTTACCTTAACCTGCTACAGTTTTTTTCCAGCCTAAACCCCATTATTGTGGTTCACATTTTAAATAATGTTCTAATACCTCTAAGATCCTCACTTATATTTTGAATATGTGTGCCTGGTATGGTGAATGTGTAGGCAGAATGCATAGGGAGTTCCCTATGGGCAAAGTGGTTATAAGCTGCTACCAGATTTTCATAGCCATAGTGTGCACTTGTTAAACAGAGTTTCCTTTTTTTGTATATTAGCTTTGCTCAGATGTAGGCATTGCTCTTCAAGAGTACCATTGAACGCTTTTTTTCTGAAAAATGATTTTTTTAAGAAGCTCCCCATGAGTAGTTGTAATTTTGTTTGGTAGCTTACCTCTGATTGAGATTGGAGAACATTTTTCACTTTAAGAAACACTGTGCCCAAATTAATGTAATATTTTTATGACATGTACATTGTAAATAATGTATAATACGTAGACGTCTAAAATCTAATTTTGATTTGTTATCCTCTGCGGATAGTCTTCTCTTTATCACATGTATACAAGTAGGTATAATTTTTAATATCCTTATGATATATACAAGCAGTGCATGGTATCCAGAGACAAAACTAGATATGACTTGACTTACGCTGTTGATATCCTTCCTTTCTAGAAAACATAAGTATTTCTAAATTATTTCCTGAATGGTGCATTTTATTATGCAAAATTGTGTTAAACATCTTTAAAGTGGTTTCAAATCATTTTAGTTTGAAATTTGGTCTCAGTCATGTTCAGTCTTTTTCTGTTACTGGACTGCTTATTTTTAAACTTGACCTAGACATTTATCTGTTTAAAGATTATAGTAGAAAATTGGATTTGTTTGAATGATTAGAAGTTGACATGTCATTCCTCCAAATTAGTTGGCTAATTTTCTCCTAAGCAAAACTTAGATAAGGAAAATGATATCCCATTATATAAAGTTCATGAATCTGTGAAGTTTAATGAGCTTTTGAAGCTGAAATAGATAAATTACCAAATATGATTTGTGGTGGCAAGCTTATTAGAAATCTAAAGGTAGGAAGTTGACAAATATTAGGTCAGATTTTTTTTTTCCACCAACCCCATGACAGTGTGCAAATTACTTAGCTGAATTGGAATTTCTGTATCAAAAATTACTCAAAATAATTTTTGCCAAAAGGATTTTAAAAACATCTCAGTATAGGCATTTATAATTAGATTTGATAATAGATTGAATTTCTTCTCTAACAATGTGTACCATACCAAAAAAATGATTTTACATTTCATCTCAACTTGAACATGGCCAGCTTTCTATTGTACATTCCGAGTAAACTCCAAAAGGATTTGACTTGACTCTTCCAGAAAATATGCATAGGTTGTGTATGTTACTATGTCATCATTACTCTAGTTGTATTGATCCAGAATATAACTTACTATAACTTAAATAATTCTATAATAATTAGCTCTAGAATTTTATGACACTAACATAATACATCAGCATAAAATAAGCATTTAAAGTATCTTAGGCACACATGCACTTTTCAGGTAACTTAAGTGACAGATATGTGTTGTTAACATCATAGACAGTAAAGTTTTTTAATTTTTACCTTTCCCCTAAAAAAAAATAGTCTTTTTGGTCTGTATAATATAGTATTCTCAACATAGTACCATTTCCTTCTTTCTTTGACAAATTTCAAGATTTAAGCAACAACTAAGCTACATCAGAATCAGTGTTTTGTTTTGTTTTTTTAAAGATTTTATTTACTTACTTGACAGCACAAGCAGGGGGAGCGGCAGGCAGAGGGAGAAGCAGGCTTCCCGCTGAGCAAGGAGCCTGATGTGTGGGGCTCAATCCCAGGACCCTGGGATCATGACCTGAGTCAAAGGTCACTTAACCGACTGAGCCATCCCAGGTGCTTAATTGACTGAGTTACCCAGGCGCCCCTAGAATCAGTTTTTAAATAGAAATTTTCAAATATATATTTAATTCTATTGCTAGAGTAAAGGATTTTGTTTGACGTTTTCCTTCTCAGCTGTGATCCTCTAATCATTGAGGCCACAAGGTTTTTGGTTTGTTTTTTTTTTAAATACATTTGTTTTGTTTCAAAATACTAGGCACAGGTATATAAATGCATAATGGGACAAGTCTTTTAACAGCATTTTTGTAAACAGTTGAAAAGCTGTGACAATTTTAAGTACCCATTTGTACCAGTTCTATTCATTACATAGTCCTCTTAGTTCTGGTTAGATAATTTCAGTGAATTCCATTACAGTTCTTACAGTTCAGTAAATATTGATAGGAATTCCTTCATCAACTTAAAGAGGATGTAGGAGTTTTTAGAAAGTTGGTAGTTTTATGTTTGATGGACATAGACAACAGAATTGAACCCACATCTGTTTTATTTCTTTTAATCTTTATGCCTTTATTAGTACTGTTGCCTTCTGCTTATTCTTTGTGGAGTTGGTCATGAGAGTGTGTTTGTCTTTAAGAGTAACAAGACTGACACAGGACCATATTTTTACCTTACAAAGTGTATCACTGAGCTAGACAAATTATAAGTACGGAATTTTCTGTTTCACAGCTGGGAAATCAGAACAAATAAAGGGTTTTAATCAGAAATAGAAATCTGATACACTCGACAGTAATATTTATATCACAAGTTTTTTAGTTCTTAAAAACACTGGAACTTGAGGGCTAATGGCAAAGAATTTTCTTTTATGTTGTTAATAACCCAGTTAATATTTTTCAAGTCATAATCCCTGTGTCCTAAATATATTCTAATTGTTACTTTTCATATCATACTTAAAGGACTTAAAACAAATTGAAATGTATGTCCTAGGTATTAGAAGAACTAAAACTGAAGACTTCATTTTAAAGCAAAGACATGTCTTATTAACTATTAAGTAAGATCTGTTTCGTTACTTGGAAAAGTCTTCTCAAAGAATAGAAGCAGGGCAGAGAAAGGAAAGATAGATTGTGCTGAACGTGCAAGTGAATAACCAAGGAAAACTAATTTCGCACAAAATTATTTGGAATTATATGCAAAGCGCTATGTTAAGTGTTTAAGAGTTGCAGTTTTACAAGACAATAATCCTTTCAAGGAGTTTACAGCACATGGCAAGTATTACATTCTTTATATAACTAGATAAAGTTTTTAGTCATTTGAAACTGCAGATTTGCTTATTCTTTTGAGCTATTGTTCTTAAAACCAGAACTTAAGAAAATGTATTGCACATCTAAAAGTAGCTTTGCTTGGGGCACCTGGCAGGCTCATTTTGGTAGAGCATGTGACTCTTGATCTCAGGGTTGTGAGCTCAAGCCCCATGTTGGGTGTAGAGATTACTTTTAATATGAAGGAAGGAAGGAAGCTTTGCTTGTTCAGACTTGAAGAGCTGGATTAATTTACATTTAACCTTGGTTTTGACTAATGCATAGTTGCAATGAGCATTTTTTTCCCCTCATTTGTCTTCGTATATTGAATAGATAACCAGCAGCCTTTTTGACCAGGTGCAAGTATCTTAACATTACCAATTTGTAAGAACATCAGCATTTTGGACAGTTTTCCAAGAGAAATCCCTGATTTTTTAATTTTTTCAGTTTCCTTTCCCATTCTTTCTTAAATTGCCATAAAATGTTTGCAAGTGTGAAAGTTTTTGAATAGGTAAAACTACATTTTCACAACTAGCTAAGGTACTCACAAGGATTCATTTTTGACTTAGGGTTGCTTCCAGAGGTGTGAGAAATAGATTCAGATTTCAGGAATTAAAATATTTTAGTTTGACTACTAAAGGAAATAATACTGAAATTTCAGTTGTAACTATTTAGGTTGGGTATCAGAAGTTTAAATGGGTCTTTAAAGATTTTATTTTTAAGCAATCTCTACACCCAATGTGGGGCTCAAACCTATAACCCTCACATCAAGAATCACATGTTCTACCAACTGAGCCAGCCAGGCACCCCCTAAATGGGTCTTTATTTTCACATCTCATTTGTTCCTCATTCTTCATCCCCTCACCCTTCATCCCTGACTTCACCTCCCATCTTCACCCTTTGTACCCCCACAGTTTTGCAGTCTATTCATTAGTTTGCCTTTAACTGTGAGAGTTACATTACAGGATATGTGTAGTCCTAGACAAATAATGTCAACTTTCAAGGATTGAAAGATTTAGCCTCACAGTAGCTCCGATGGTTTATGTGAACTTTCACCTGACTCCTCTGTAAGACCTACGTTTAAAATAGGTTGTCTCTCTTCCCCACCCCCATCAGCCCCAGATCTGTCTCTTAAAACAAAAATGCATATAGTCAGCATTGCTTCAATAAAGCATATATTAAGACTTTTGTAACAAAGACCTACCCTGTAGATGAAGAAATATTGGATAATATATATTCATTTTGACTTTTAGATCATCTTTACTACCATATTAGATGTTCTTCATTAAACTCTGAAAACTTGGTCTAGGCTAGTGTTTAAAAAACTCCATAGCTTCCCAAGAATACAGATTGTACTAGCCCACTTAGAGAAACACTGCCTTAAAAATAATTTTAAAAAGGCACACACAAGCACAAAAAATCATATGTTCATACTCTGTTGTGAGATGGTTATCCAGAAGATCCAGAATGTGTTTCTATTAGATTTTTCTTCTTAGTTTATCAACAAAACAAAAGTTAGCAAATACTTACAAAGATTTCCCACATACTCAAGAATACTTCTGTGGGCCCAAGTTTAAGAAACAGTGATCTAGGGGTTTAGAATTATTAAACCAGTGTAAAATATAGTGGAGATACCTTGAGTATATTTTTGATGGATCACTGTTAGAATATGAGGGGGAAAGCTAATAAGGGATCAGCCTAACAGACCACCATACAGGAACCACATACCTGAAAGGTGAAAGATGAAATGAGGAATGCCTAGGACTTTTGAAATCAGAATCAACATTCCAAGGATGGTGACAAGTATTCTAACAAAAAATACATGGATTCATCTGGTGAGTAAAGCAGCTGACAAATCTAAGATGGGTAATGAGCCAGATACAAAAAAAAAAAAAAAAATTAGCCAGAAAGTTTAGGGGCTTTAGTGAAAAACAGACTATTGGTTATATACACAAAATATTTAGAAATGCAGGTACACCACTAATGTATAGAATTATGTATTTGCATATATAAAGAGGAAAATTCTATAATATGTATACCTATATTTTAGCATGTATTAACCACAGAGATTTGGAAAACTTCTTACTCCGGTAAAAGGACACTTCCCATCTGTCTAGATTAGTGAATTATTGCTCCCCTTCACAAAACAGATTTGTGGTTACTTTTAAACTGACAGGACTTATAGGGGTGGGAGAGCGTAGATTTATGACCGGCATAAATTTCAGTTTTATGCTAGCAACTTACGAGCAACTAGTGGAAAGAACTTGGCTTGGCCCTAAGCAGGAGAAGCAGATTGGTTTCTGTTTTGTTTGTTCCCAATTCCCCTTTTTGCCTCTACAGCCCCTCCCTACCCCAAGGCTGGGCCCGCCCTCTTCTCTATCTCATTTCTAAACAGATTTCTTCACACTATAACTGCAACCTTTTCCTGATGTGTTTTAACGTTTGCCTTTTGATGACTGCAAGTCAGTGTACAAAATAAATTTCTTGTGAAAGTATTTGAGTAATTTATGAAAGGAAGAATAATCAGTAGAGAAGGGGCTTTCAGTCAAATTACCTACCAAGTTACTTACCTCTACCTACCATTAAGTCAGCCCTAAGAATGAAAATTCACTACTGTGCCTGTGCCATTAAAATAGTACAGTTCTTACCACTTTCCATTCACCCTAACAAAATGAAAGGGTGTTTTGTATGTGTACCAATTCTGTGCCACAATTACTAATTGCTCTTTTTGTCTAAAGAGTTGAAATAATACTAAACAATGCTCTAGAAAATTCTGAATGAGGAGCATCAGCTTCTTTTTAAGCACAAAACTTTATAGTAAAGAAAGAATTAGATGTCAGGAATGAATATAACATGCTAAGCTTGAGTTGAGGGGAAGAGAAAAAAATAAATGTCATTTTTAAAGCACTTGCCATATTATAGAATTAAATTGAGTTTATATCAGTCATTCTCAGCCAGTAATGGGATCAGGGATGAAATTTTTGGCATCAAAGTTAGCCTAGGTTTAAAAAGGTTAGGAAACACTGACCATCAATTTGAGTAATTTGGATTGAGTCTTGTTGGGATTTTAATGAGTTTTCTATGGGGAAAAGGATGGGGTTCCTGAGCAAATTAATGGTCTCAACAAGACATGGCAATAAGTAGACATATCCTCTCTTTCCCAAAAGAGGCAGTCTTATCAGCATTCCTTTTTAATTTATATGTAAATGATCATCCGTTCATGAAAAGCAAGTAGAACACCTATAGTTGGCAATACTTTGTTAGTCATGGACTACCAACCAAAAGTAATTTTTTTCATTAAAAAGTGCTTTTTGTTCTTTCTACTAATTTAGGTACATAGTTATTCTGAATTAGATTTCTATCTCACTCATGATTTTCTGCATTAAAAGATTTTGGAGAAGAAGATTCTCAATGTTCTCATTTCTCTCTTGGTTTTGAAATCGCCATTAAAAGTATATTCACTTAATTTGGTTTATTCCTCACTTAATCACTGTAACCTCCCACCTTTTCACCACAACAAAAAAACTTAGCTGTAGATGAACATAATGCTGGATTTGAGGGAGTAGACAATACTAACACCAGATTCCAAGTCCATTTCATTTGAATTGGCACACTATACACGTAAGACTTTAAACAGATTTATTTGGGTTTAACTTAAGATTTTTCCTTCCTGTCTTTTATCTAATAAGCTATTTTTCATCTCTTTCCCAAGGTTTTCAAACAGCTGGAAATTCATGAATACTTCACATTTTCATTTGATTTTGAAGATTGTAAATTTAGAATTAAAAATATTTTTTCATTTTAAAAATAGAACACTTGCAGTGAATTTAACATGTGCAGACAAAGAAAAACATTTGATTTTGTTGGTAATTCAGTAAGATAACTAATGTGTACTTCAAAAATACAGGTAATATTAAAATTTTAGAGCACTATTGTAGCCCCAGGTCTTTTACACTTCTAAAAATAAAATTGCTATCTAAGAACTGTTTTTCCTTCATAGTCCAGTACAAATTTTAATTATAATGTTGCAGAACAGAAATGAAGGCATATCCAATGTTTTGTCCCTCTCTGGGGCCTAACTCCCTTTTCATAGAAAATAGGCTGTATTATCATCACACTTTTAAAAATTTCTGATATGTAATTGTACCAAATGGAAAACTTGGGGGTGGGGGGCTAGTTAAGTAACCTAGGTTGAGGGTGTAGTCTTCTAGCCAAACCCCTTTAGGTCCTGTTGATTTGATTGCTCAATTGAATTTAAAAGGTTGACTCATATTAGTTAATTAGTTGATACTTCTTTTTATGTATCTTTCCTTTCCAGCTACACCGCAGGACTTTATGGAGGGGGGGTGCAGACCCTTTTAGTTTATTTTGCCCTGTATTCTCTTAACTCTTAAGGTAGCACTCTGCATCATCGTAGTAGTAAATACTTGCTGATTGAAAGAAATAGTTGGGAGAGAGCAAAGAAAGCAATGAAGAAAAATAGAGCAAAATTAGTAGTAGATGTATTCTGATGGGACTTAATATTTCTTGATTTTGATAACGTACTAACTTCTTTGGAAATAGTTTTGTGTCCTCAACTCAATTTATCAGTGATCTACTTGAAAACGAGTGAATCAAAGTGAAGAAAAATGTTTCTTAGTATAATTTTTTCTTAGCTAATCTTGTAAACAAAAGTTTTCGATGTCTTATTTTTACTTGAAATCTACTAACTTCTATTAACAGAGCATAATTGATTACATTGGAGGATACAGTCTGCCTTTAATTTTCTGAACAATTCTCTGATTTCTAGCCCATATTTATATTTGGGTTTAACTTAAAATTTTTATTTTTATATTTTGGGTTTAACTTAAGGCTTATTTTAGCATCAAATCTCTTGGCTTAAAACTCAGTTAATGGTTATACTAGATGAACATCTTTGTCCTCTACTCTGATTTGTAATCAGAGAAAATGTCCTAAATGGAAACCAGCATTAAGGATCATTTACAGTCTTCCAGGTGGTCCTGCTTTCTTACTAAGGCTATCACTTAGTCATTATTATTGTTTGTAGTAATAAAAAGCAAAGTTTTTCTTATTATATAGTTACCACGATATAGTGAACTAAGAGTGATCTCAAAGTCTGAATAAATGGTTAGAATCTTCATGTTAGAACCATGTTACACAGTAAACACTACATATAGGAACTTTTTTAGCATGTGACATTAGAAGATCATGGATATTAGCATAAACCACTTGCTTTTTATTGGGTTATTTGCAGATACATGATTTGCAGTTGCTTTTCATCTTAATTGTGCAATCACTTTATATTGTATTCTACTTGTGTTGTTAAAAGTACTTTAAAACATACTTATTTCTGAAATGAGTGTCCTTTACCAGTAACAGGGGGTATCACAGAAGAGCAGTTTCAGACACATCAACAGCAGTTAGTTCAGATGCAAAGGCAGCAGCTTGCTCAGCTTCAGCAGAAACAGCAGTCTCAGCATTCCTCGCAACAGACACATCCAAAAGCACAGGTAAACTTGTCTTTTCATCATGGTTATGTTTTTTTTTTCTTTCATAATTACATAGTTTTGTTCCATTTTAGTCAAGTCACAGAGGATAACCTTGATAAACTAGTTTATATTTAATAAAGGAAGTACTAGAGTCAAATATGGTATTTGTAATTTAGGAAAGTATGTTGTTTTAAAGGGTTATTGAGAATTTGTAGAAGGAATTATATACTCTTAGAACTATCATTCCCACCCCTACAGCCCCCAAAACTTATTTTTTTCTTTTTTTATTTATTAGAAAGCATGAGTTGGGGGGAGGGGCAGAGGGAGAGGGAGAAGCAGACTCCCTGCTGAGCAGGGAGCTTAGTGCAGGGGCTCCATCCCAGGACCCTAGGTTCATTACCTGAGCCGAAGGCAGACGCTTAACCAGTGACCCCCAGGCGCCCTATTTTTTTTTTCCCAAGAATATAACTTTCCTACCCACTTCTTAAACTCTCTGTTTAAGTGCCATATGGATGTGCCCCATGGGCTAAGAGGTAATTCCCTTGAATTGTGCAGTAAATCTAAACAGTATAGCCCCTTGTCTCTTTGAATCACATTCCCCTGAAGAAAAAAAAATGCCACCAGGTGAAGTTTTCCATTGGCATGATTAAATGAATACACTAGGGATAAGAACAAAAATATCTTATGAAATTGTAATTGCCAAAAGAAATTAGCCCTGCTGCAAACACCTTGATGTGAGCCCTGTAAGACTTACTTTGAACTCATGGCCTCCAGAATTGTATGAGAATAGGGTTCTATTGTTTAAGCCACTAAAAGTAAAACTAATTGAAAAGTATGTTTCAAATTTGAGCCATCTGAAAGAAAGACATCTAGTGTTTTAGGTCTTAAGTTTTGTTGCTTCATAATTCCAAAAGTAATTCTGAAGGAATAACTGAGATGAGCTCAGTCTTCGTTGTATTCTGTGAGAGCTCTTAGGCCAGCATCTGCTGATGGAAGTTCAATTCAGTCTCAGGGGATCACTAAATACGCTAACCTTGGAAATCCTGAATCCAACAACATGAAAATCTCAGTGACATCAGGACCCCTCAGCACTCCTCTAGCATCCAGATGGATTTGGGACTGTCCCACATTCTAGAGCTATTGGCTGTTAGTAACAGCTGACCAGTTTCATACAGAATCAAGAGGAATGGCCATTAAACTTTGTTTGCTTTTTCTGAATCTCTTGGGTCACTAGCCTGTTGCAGGTTTAGGCCAGATATGTTCTTACATTGTGACAAAAATGATGGTTAGTTCCTTTGATTTCATGTTGTCCATAGTATCTAGATTGTCAAGTATTTTTTAAAAAGGCTTTCATTAACACTTACTGGAGAAATTAGTAGAGTGTTAAAGGTTTGAGGTTTTTAATTCCCTAGTTCTCCAAAATAGTTGCTGCTTCCCAGTTTTTAGTCATTTATTTCCCTGCTTCATATGCCAAAAATAAGTCTGTGGAGTCCTAGATCTCTTAATCTAAACACCTCTAACTATTCAAGATGAAAAAGGTAACTGCCTTTTGGTTTGCCCATTTCTTTAAATAGTCACGTTCATGAAATCACATCTGAAAAATTGAGAGTTTAATTTCGTTTATCTTACAGGGCTCAAGCACCTCTGACTGTATGTCTAAAACACTTGACTCAGCCAGCGCCCACTTTGCTGCATCCGCAGTGGTCAGCGCACCTGTTCCGAGTCGCGGTGAGGTAGCCAAGGAACAGAACACTGGCCACAACAACATAAATGGTGTTGTCCAGCCTTCAGGTAAGCCTGTGGTTTGCTATGGTACTTATTAGCTCAAAATTGTAACTCACTGATTTGAGATAAGGTTTTTATTATTTAAATGCAAGGGGAAAGCATTGTACAAGAAATCAGTCAGGACTCTTCAGAATTTCTATGGATAGGTGTCGTGGAATAGCTGAATGTTTTCTAGAATTCACATAGAGCCTGCTTCCCTGTCCTCCTGCACCCACTAGATAACATTCCTTTGTAACACTTCCACCCTGCCTAGCTTTATTCATGTACTATCAGTTGCCTCACATCTTAGGAAACATACTGAGCTAATTGCTAACCGTCACCATGGAATTAATCCATGCAGCGATAAAAAGGCAAAATGCAATCCAGGTTGATCTGGGGTTTGAAATTGGGTTTACCATCCCACTAGCACATACTCATCAGACTGCTTTCTCTGACTCCTCCTCTTGAAATACAGTATTACTCTGGAACCTTGTCTGCTTCTTACTACCCCGAGTCCTCAATGACTTGCTGTTCTATCACCCTTCAACCACTACTCAGACCCTAGGCTTTTCCACTTGCTTTTAGATATACCTGTGATCCTGATTGCCTCTCCTTACTGATTTCTTCTTGCATGTGTAAATTCTGATGGAACTCAACTATCATTTCCACATGCTATCAACCTCCGGAGAGGACCTCTCTGCCCCGCGATTTCCTACTTTCCAAATAGGGATGCATCAGAATACTTTGTAAAGCCCTTTTATGCAGGCCAATAGAAAGATCTATCTTTGGGGTGGTAACAGGTAAGTATGTTGTGATCAGGAACTCTTTGGAGAGGCCAGTATGTGGAAAATTAACTTGGTATTTAATTAATATACCAGTGTTTGCACTTTTTATTAAACTCCTGATTTTTTGAGAGTTTAATTAACGTTTCATGATATGAATTGAATTATTTCTTTTCCTCCTTCAGGAACCTCTAAAACGTTATACTCCACCAATATGGCTTTATCATCCAGCCCAGGGATTTCTGCTGTACAACTTGTAAGGACAGTTGGCCACACCACTACAAACCACTTAATCCCAGCATTGTGCACAAGCAGTCCTCAAACACTTCCCATGAACAATTCCTGCCTGACAAATGCAGTGCACCTCAATAATGTCAGTGTTGTTTCTCCAGTCAATGTGCATATCAATACACGGACTTCAGCACCATCGCCAACAGCCTTAAAACTTGCCACAGTTGCTGCCAGTATGGACAGAGTGCCAAAGGTTACTCCTAGCAGTGCCATCAGCAGCATAGCGAGGTATGTGTGTGTGTGTGTTTCCAGTACCGTTCCATCCCTCTCTGCTGGCTATACTTGGGAGGAAAAAGACTTTTATTTTTACTGCCCAAGCAATAGATGTCTCTTTATTGACTTGCTTTTTTAACAGATACTGAGATCTGCTTAATGTAGAGCTCTGTGACTTAGACTATTTTGCTTGAGGTCACTGGTAGGATGTTTAAATGACAACCAGAAGTATAAAAAACAAGGGGGAAAAAACACATCAAATTGAAAGCCATCAGACCCCCAAAAAATACATCAAAAAATATTTTAGAAGCTTCAGTCTTCTGTTACTTTTTTGTAGCATAGACAATTGGGAAGGTTAGAGGAGTTGTTGTGTTCCCATCAGTATTATACACAAAGGGAAAGTAAGTTATTTTATGTATATGTTAAAATTGAGAATATTCTGGGATTAGCTAAATCTGTGATAATATATTTCAGGGTATGTTTTTATATTTCTATGATACTAATACATGAGAACGGTGAATCAGAAAACAGTTGAGGTGCATGAATTAATAACTACATGACCTTAAATCTATAAAATTAAATTATAGTGGAAAGTAAGTAATACTGTACTTCTAATGATTATTCTTTTTGAGCATTATATGCTTCATCTGTTGTAAAAAACTTGGATGGTCTTGTGTTACATTTCATGAGTAGTTTGTCATTGGCTTCTTTCTACTGAAATATGTCAAATTACTGTTTCCTAAGGAAACAGTTATAATCAAGTAATTAGGAATTAATAGGATTTCTTACCTGAAAAAAGCTTGTCCTCATTCGTGTATAGAAATGATAAAAACGGGAAATATTCTTGTGAAATATGTGTTGTAGTTACATAAAAAGTGTCTGTAAATACTGATAATATCATATTCTAGAGAGCATTAATGTTTATTTTTACTCTTTGCCTTTCTTTAGAGAGAACCATGAACCTGAAAGATTGGGCTTAAATGGAATAGCAGAGACAACAGTAGCTATGGAAGTGACATAACCTAAAACATATGGCTTTTGACCTGTGCTGATGGTGTGCAGTCATTCATATTCCAGCTGAATGCAAAAGGCAACACTCTGTGGATCACGGAGCGTAACAATGGACCTAAATGGACTACAGTATATCGGATATTAAATCGATATATGATGTATATTTTGTAAAATTGGGAAAATCACTACCTTGTAAAATAGTTTATTTGTATCATCAATATTATTTCTGTTACTTGAATAGTAGATATTCATCATCATGCTTTTGCACTTGAATTTGCAACTGAATGGATTTTAAAAAATAATTCTTTAATGGGATCATGAGCATGAAATGGGATCCTGCATCACTTGTTTTAACTATTTATTTTGCCATGTTTACATTTTGTATCTTGTAAAAATAAATCCAACTTTGTGTCTAAAAAGTTAAAGATTCATAGCTAGGAAATGAAATTCTTGTAATTTTTTTCTAAAGGAACTGTAAAGTTTTCACTTGGTTCATTTTGTTTCACAATTTGACTAGATGGACTTTTTGGTAAATACTAGTGGCATTTCACTGTCAAATATGAAGTTCAAGGCAAAATAGTATTTTCTATTACTGTGCAGGGGAAAGGGATGGATCGATACATGCAAATTTAATGTAGTAACTCACTTTTCCATATATTTTGAATGTATATTTCTATTTATAATACCAGTTTATAAAAAATAATTACACAGGAAAAACGGACTAGGAAAAATTATGCATCTAGCACATTTAAACTGTGCAGATAAGAAAATTTTTCAAGGATTACATTTTATCTGAAGACTGCATATTTTAACTGGCTTTAAAACTGTAACACCACATAAAGGATATTTTACCAGGTATGTATTGCATCATATCATTGCAATAATTATTGGAAGTCTAGATATCGAGCCATCCCCAGGTGTTGGGAGGGGGGGAGGGTTGTGGCAAGATTGTCTTTTCAATTTTGGAGAGTTTTCCTGTGGCTACAAGGCAAGTAACGGGTTGGAAAAAGTCTGACTGTAAGCGTTGGACACCTTCATAGTGTAGTGTTTTAGTGACTTTTTTTATACGGTTCTTGTAAATTAGATACGTGTAGTGGTGTTTCAGAATGTTTGTTTATGCACTAGTTCAGACAACTTTCCCTGTTACTTGTTCTTGATAAGTGAAAACTGCAGGGAAATAAAAATACATATCAAAACATGGACATGCTGCATATGTGTTTATTTCACAATGTGCACACAGCGTAAGTGAAAACTTAAGGGAGATGATAGCACTTAACAGCACTTTTCGTTTTCACAGTGCTTTCCAAGCATTAATGAAAAGAATTATAAGAAGCTCATCTGTGGGCACTATTGGGTTTCAGATAATCCAATATAAACTACCTTTGATATGAAAAGTTCTTAAAATATTTTACGGAATGTAAGCAATTTGCAGTATAACATTCATTGAAATCTCATAAATGAGCCTCATTTTATAAATAAAAGTTTAGAGTAGAATTATATTGCAAGGGGGTTTTGTCAAGTAAGTACTGGGAAATGTAAATATTTTTAATGAATATGATTAAAACCATTTCAAACTTACATAATTTTATACTTTACATTTTTTATATCTGCAGTCCTGAAAGTTGTAAATTGATATGTCAGTTGAATTAATGGGCCAAGATTTCTGCTGAGAGTGGTTTTTATTCAGGTCCTAATGTGTAAAGCAATTTATGGTCAAAACCACAGAAAAAAATAAATTTAATTTCTTCATTGGTTGTGACCTGATAGGATCCATGCTCGTTTCTGCCATACTACCTCTGGAGTTACTCATTGCTGATGATATAAAGGAAATAATTTTGATTTGATTTGTATTATGACTGTGTTCATTCTGCTTTTAGTTGGATGTATCTCCTTGCTATTAAGAACTTAACAACTTTAGTGCCAATTTTGGAGAAAGCTTTTTTTTCCATTTTACTAAGTAAAGCATGAAGTGAATTTGCCTTATGTGATATACATGTTATAAAGAATTGAAGTAAAACAAAAGAACTATCCATTTGTACGGTTTCTGGAGATGTGGCAAATCCAGAACTTATCAAAGACTGGTGACCAATTTATTTGTTCCTTTTGAAGTAAAATAGAAAAATAAGCCTTCCTTATTTTGGTGGTTGTAACTGTTTCATAGATGGCATTTCAGTTACTTGCACACACATTTTCCCAGTGCTTTTCAAAAACTTTTAAGTGACAAAATACTTCCACCTTATTAGAGAACCCTTTGTCTTTGCACTGGCCCTCCACTGGGCAGTACCACCATATCTTGGTTTTCTGAGGAAACTAATGTTGGTACTTGTAGTTCAGTAACCTTCCAGAGACCTTGGAGAATGTGGGTTTTTTGTTTTCAATGGGATCAATAGTAGGTTGGGTTTTTGGTGCTTTTTTGCTTTTAAACAAAAGAGTAACTCTCATGTTCTGGGGTATCTTGTAATTCGAAATAGATAGAAATATTTATATAAACGTCAAGATCATCATTATGACCAGTTATTATGATGTGGCTCTAAGTATATTTGAGGATGTTTTGCAGAGCTTTCTTTTGTAAAAGACTAAAGGAAAAATAATATCTGGAGGGCACATTTACAAAATTACATACATCACACACACTCATACCCCCCACACACACACGCATACATTCTTTTTTAAAAATAGGGAATACAGTATTTGCACCTGTGCTTAGTGTTTATTACTGAGGTGGTTGTTTTGTGGGAAGGAGAGCAGTAAGGAAGACTAGCATTTTAGAAACCTATCCCTAGTATATACTGCTCTATTTGAATATAATGCTATATTTTGAACAGACTTTTTTTGATCAATAATACATACTTTTGACAGAAATGTCTCATTCCTTTAACCAGGCAAACTATTAAATTTCAAAAGGTTAAGTGTATTTCAAGTAAATCACTATTATATAAGACAGGTTTTTTTTCATTATTAATTGGAATATACTCATGTCTAATACTGTGGCGCATGTAGTTTTCTTAGTGACTTTTTCATTTTGTCCTAACAATTATGTAAGTACCAGTATTATCCCCATTTTACAGATCAGGGAAGTGAAGCTTGGAGAAATTGAGTAACTTGCCCTACATCACATAGCTGGTAAGTTACTGAGCCAGGAATTAAATTTAGGTAGTCACCACACTTCTAACCACTGCTTGCCATCTTTAAAGTGGAAGTTCTCTTCAAGGAATTACTTATTGTACTTCTCAGTCCACTTCTTGGCACCATCTGTAACAAGCAGAGCCTCAACGTTATTTAGAAAACAACCTCCCCTACTCTTACACTACCAGGCATTCAATGTTTTGTTTTGTGCTTCCAAGACTGAATGCATTAGATCCAACTTTGGCTTATAGTCATCCACCAAGCAAGCCCAAACCAATCCATTTATCCTCTGTCGGCCAGACCTAACCAGTAGTTCTCAATCAGCGCAGAGCCTGGGACCTGGATCTGGGCCGGAACTTGGCTGAGTTTTAGCCCCTTCTTGACCTTGGTTTCCCCATCTGTAAGATGAGCAAGTTCCCAAAACTCCGGAAAGGAGGCCGCTGACAAACTTGGTGAAGGGTTAAATGTGGCCCATGTGCCATTGGTTTCTCCCCAGGGAACTAAATGATATGGGAGCTAAGGCTGAGCAGACAGTCCAGAGCTGCTTTTTTTTTTTAAAGTCACTAATGTCATCAAGGCTGACTAGCATATGGACAGTTGTATTCTATCATGTAATGCAGCTGAGTGTATGTGGAATCAATAATTCTAGCCAGCTTCTGTGACTACAGGTCTCCAAAAGCCACAAGAAATCTATCTTCTTCAGAGGTGTCAGTGAAGGAAACAAGACAATACAGTACAGTAGAATATCAGAGAATTTGGTGAGTGTGGATTTAATCCCTTTTCTCTACCGCTTAATTGGCAGGTGAGTTTAGTACCTTCATATCTCTGAACTTGGATCATAGGACGAATGGGGAGTATTAGGTAATCTGTAACATCTCCACCAGCTCTGATGCTACAGGAATCAAAATCTCCCACTTCCCCAGGTGGTTCCCTTACTTTCCAGAAAAATCAGCTTCCCTGTTACTGTCACTATCCATTAACTTACCAGAACCATTCAAAAGAATCAGTAACAAACCAGACCTTCTAGACCTTCCTATCATGCCTTTTCCTATTATCCGAAGGGGAACTTTTTTTCAAACACGGACTTAAAAACTTTTTAGCTGTGGCTTACTGCAAAGCTTGAAATTTTAACACAGAGAAGAAGGTAACACTAAGCCACATATTTCTCCAGGAATGACTGACTTGGTACCAAATTTTAGGCTTGGGCTATCTCTAAATGAGGTCTTCTGTGTCATACTAAAATTAAGAGTTCTGTGTGTACTTAAGTATTTGTATACTTGAGACATTTTGTTGTGTTCATGAAATCTCCCTCGTAATAGCATTGCATATTTGAACAAAACCCCTACTTCACTGGCTAACTGATTAGAATACTATTGCAAGTCAAGACGACGAAGTATCTGCGAACATTGACCCTCTTCAGAGTGAACATTATCCTCAGGAAAGCCTATGATTCTGCAATTACCTTTATTGCTAGAACAAAATTAGGTTGACTCCAATCACAAAAAGAAAATTATTCCACCTTCAGTATACAAACTATTGATTTAGTCAACAGCATATTCTACAGCATTCACATTTTCCATTTGCCCATGTTGAAAACTTTTAACCATTAGTGTATAGAAGAACCCTGTGTTCTTCCTCTGCTCAGTGCCAGAGCCACTGGAGGTCATGGGCACACACAGTTCTGTCTTACTGATGCCTGTCTCATGTGCTCTTCTCACTGCCGTAAGTAGCTTTTGGTCAGTGACCACATGAGCCCAAATCAGGGATAACCAAGATGCAGGAGCTCCGCTTTCAACATGGTGTCTGTGCGATCTGCTGAGGAATAAACTATTACAAACAAACCATGTATGTGGATGAGGGGTCTAGCACCAAGCTAGAAATCAAGGTGGCAGTTGCTCTGTGTTCACATCTGGAGGCTCAAGTAGGGAAGGGTTCACTTCTAAGCTCCCTCAGGTTGTAGACATTTCACTTCCTTGTGGCTATAGCACTCTTAGCAATTTGCTTCTTCGAAGGTAGCAATGGAAGAGTGTTTCTGCTATGTGAAGTCTCTGCTTCAGAGAAGCCTGGGCCTTCCTGACAGGCTCATCTGATTAGCTCAGGCCCATGCAGCCTGGTCAGCTTTAACTTAGTCAGCTGATTAAGGACCTTAATCACATTTGTAAAATCCTTTCACTTGCTCTACTCTGTTTGGAGCAAGTCACAGGTCTCACTCCCACTCAAGGGGAGGGAATTACACAAGGACATAGATACTAGGAGATGGGAATTACAGGGCCACCCATAGGTGTAACTGTCACATCCGTGTAATTGGATTAGCTTTGGTCCACTGACTGCTCGCCTTGCCTTCCCCCGCCTCAGTATTTTGGATTAACTTCAAAAGAACAACATATTTTTAATAGATAAATATTTAAGGCACACTGTAGTGCAAACATTTTGCTATTAATCATAAATTCCACAGTCCTGGGTGTTAGGCAGGAGGTCAGGTTCAGTCTGGCCATAAGCCTGGCCATCATTGGCATGAAAGCCTTGTGGGAACTGGAGGGGATGAGATAAGGTAGAAAAGGAGGAGGAATAGCAGAAGAGTGAACAGCCGAACCTCAGCACCCATGTGGCCAGAGGAGTGGGGAGGGGCAGAAGAGATGGGGTAGCAATCAGAGGAGGAGCCGTGAGCCAAGGGCTTCTAATTTCCTTCGGAAAAACCATGCAGAGTTAGAGTACAAGAGGGTAGATGTGAGAGATGTGGTTGGTAAGGAAATAGAGGTAATGAGAGTTTAGCAGGGGGATAAAAAGTGAATGACACGATGAGAAAGCCTGACTTCAAGTCTTCTCCAGCACATCTAGCCATCACAAGCGCCTCGGAGAGCTCTGAAAAGGACAGATGTGTGGGGTCTCATCCCAGGCTGATGAATCAAGATCTCCAAAAGTGGGTCAGGATACCAGTATTTTTTGTGTTAGTTCTTTTGTCTGTTCATGTGATCGGTTAGTTGACTGGTTTTTTTGTTTGTAAGTTCAACAGATGGTGTTTGTTGGTTAGAGGTGAAGTTAGGAATGACTGGTATAATCTTTCTGTTTACTAG